TAAAAATTATCATAATAAAAGATGATTTGAATCTGCTACAACTAATCAGTTATTATATTAAAGTAATCTTATTTTTTAGAAATATTTATCTAAAGTGATAATCATTCAAATTAAAATAAAAATTGGTTAAAATTTGACATATTTAAGAAAATATATTTTATTAATTCTTTTTTACATTAAATTAAGAAATTCTCAGTTTATTTTAAATAATATTTAAGGTAATAAATATGTTTGATTCAAAAATTTTAAATATTAGACTTTAAATAAAATTTAACAAATTTCCAGCATTTAATTTGTTCACCTCATACTATTTGCACCCCCAAATTGGCAAGATTTCTCATAACTTTTTAGGATAATGTTCACCTCATACTATACAATTAAAACTACTAATATATATATATATGTACAAAATACATAAACTTTGAAAAAATAAAAATATTGCCATTAAATGAATTCATAACACTTAATTGTTACAACTGCTTTTTGTAAGTTTACATTGGTAGGTAAGCATGAAAATGGTAACTATTACTATTTTGTATCCCATTTTCTTAAGGAAAGAAAGAAGAAAGTAGTTCATAATGAAAGAATAGCTTTAATAGCTATTGCATGTTGGGAGATGTATTAAAAAATAATTCACTAAAATTATTATGTCTCTCTGTAATTATCTATAAAGTTAGATTTTTATACATAAATATATTTACATAGAAAAGGAAAATATTTTCAAGTGAAACCATCTACCTTTTTCACTGAGTGAGAAAGAGGCTGGTCTCGTTTAAAGAGCAAGGAAACAAAAACATCGTAGCCATTACAGAAGCAGCACACTATGTAGGATTATTGGCTTGTGTGTGGCATTAAGTACAACTAAATTTTGGGATAGTTCTGTTAGAACTACTCCATTTGGTATAATTGCCATTTAAAATGAGCAGACCTAAGAACAAAGGTAAGTTTCTTTTCAACTATTCATTCAGTTTTTTGTTTTCTATTTAAAGAGATATTGAAAAAAAAACAGTTGAAATTGAATAAGCAGGTCTACTGAATGTTTAAATCATCTTCAAAAATTACTTTAAAAAGGTGTATCCTTTATCATTAACATTTAAAAAATATTTTTTCTCATAAATATCTAGTAATATTGAATAACATAGGTGTTATTGCATAACTGATATATCATCCTTTGTCTTCATTGTGCATAATAATGCCTGATGAATAAAACACTAGATCTTGTGAATATTTGACTTAATGTTAAAAATACAGCATTAATCTGTATTTCTGTACATTACAAAAACTCTGAGATTACAAGTTATTTTTTCAAAAACTGTTACCATTTCTTTATCAAATATTTCTCTAAAATGTCTATATTGTTCTGTTGCAAGCTTCAAATAATCTTTAAATCAGTATTAGAAAGTAGTTTGTTATTTTTTAATTTTAGAGCATTTTTTTTTCACTTATAAATTACAATTTTTAAATTGCCTGAATATACAAAAATACCTATTTATCAATTAAATTTATTTTTATGAAATTTACATTTTCTCATGTAATTCATTCTACTGAAGATATTGATGCCAACATGATACTGTTAACACTATTACATGTTTCCATATGTAGCAATAAATTTTGTGTTTTTAGCATTTTGAAATGTTTAGACAATATTTCGAAAAATATCCATATCTTTAAAAATACTCTTTAATGAAAAACTGAAAATTAAAAATTAATACTTTTATTGTATGATATCTTTTATGTCAGTGTAGGATTATTTTTTCATAGAGATTTTGCACAGAAAAAATTAAGACAAGATATAAACATTTAAAAAAAAATTTTTCTTAGATATTTTATGTAAATGCAATATGTACAATTATAGTAATATTCATTGATGTTTTAAAATCTTGATTTCAGAAACAGCAGATATCAAAGTCAGAAACTTTTAAAGAAATAATTTTCAAAATGAGACTGGTTGAGATAAATGTGCTGTTCATGATCTTACACATTGGCTGGGGAGTTGATCTCATTTATTATACAGAAGAAGCAAAAAATCCAGGAACCTATGTGGGAAATATTGCTATTGATTCACATATTATGAAGGATATCCCAGACTTTGATCATAACCTTATAGGATTCAGCCTTCTTCATAAAGGTGCCACTGGCAATTCTCCATTATTTCGAATATCAAAAAGAACTGGAAAACTCTATACTGCTCAAACACTGGATGCAGAAAATCTATGTTTTTATAAAAAAGAATGTTTTCACATGTTGAATGTAGCAGTTAGAAAATCGACAACTGTTTTCAAATTATTAGAAATCAAAGTAATAATACAAGACATTAATGATCATCAACCTGAGTTTCCAGATAAACAAGTTAATGTCAAATTTAATGAAGATATTGGAATAGGAACCAAAGTATCAATTCCTAATGCCATAGACAAAGATGTAGGAATTATCAACTCCCGGATTACTTATGAACTAAAAAAGACCAAAGATGAACCATTTATATTGTCTACCATGAAGAAAGTAGATGGAACGTCTGATCTGAGTATAGAATTAGAAAGAATGTTGAACAGAGAAGTCAAAGACTCTTACACAATTCAGGTAATTGCAAAAGATGGAGGATCTCCACCAAAACAAAATATATTGACTGTTCATATTTCTATCGCTGATGTAAATGATAATACACCAATCTTTTCCCAGAAAGTTTATAATGTTTCTATTAATAGCAAACACAATGATGCAAAACCTGTTGCCATATTATCTGCTAAAGATCTGGATTCTGGGGAAAATGGTAAAGTTACTTATCATATAACTGCAAAAACAACTGACCACACAAAAAGTATATTTGATTTAAATGAAATTACAGGAGAACTCTTTCTACATAAAAAAGAAACACTACACAAAGAATTGACATATGAATTATATGTGGAGGCAAGAGATGGTGGTAAGCCACCATTGCGATCACTTGCAATGGTTTTGGTCAGTGTACTCAACCAGCAGAATAATGCTCCATTGATAGATGTAAACTTTTTCTCTACATCCAGAGAAAATACAGTTGATATTTCTGAGGACATTAAAGTTGGTAGTTTCATTGCTTATGTGAAAGTCAGTGACCATGATGAAGGGCAGAATGGTGAAGTGAGTTGTGAAATTCAGCATGAGAAATTTCAGCTTCAAAAAATGGGCACTCTTAAATATCAAGTAATTGTAAAAAGTACTTTAGATCGAGAAAGAGAAGATCACCATGATATTATCATCATGTGTCAAGATAAAGGATCTCCTCCTCTCCAAAGTAAAAGCAAGTTCTCAGTTCAAGTGACTGATGTGAATGATGTCCAACCCCAGTTTACAAAACAATCATTTAAATTCTTCATTGATGAAAACCAAAGATCCAAAATCCCTGTTGGAACAATCAATGCTACAGATCCAGATTTTGGACTTGGAGGTAAATTGTCTTTTTCTTTGTTGACTACCAATAAACAGTTTGTACCATTCAGAATCACAGAAAATGGATTAATCTCTTCAATTATGTCTTTAGATCATGAGTTTCAAGATACTTATAAATTTCAAGTATTTGTAAAAGATAAAGGAACTCCATCATTGAATAACACAGTGAATGTGATTGTTAAGGTGAGAGATGAAAATGATAATGCTCCATATTTTACATTTCCCAGTGTTAATCCTTATAATATGGATGTAATATATTATCCACATCATACAAAGAACATCACCCAAATCAAGGCATCAGACAGTGATAAACAAGAGAATGCATTTCTCAAATATGAAATAATCAGAGGCAATAGTAAACAAATATTCAACATCAATCAGTACACTGGTTTGTTATCTTCAACTCATGTCCTAAGCCAAAAAGATGCTGGTTCCTACGAGCTGGAATTTCTAGTGAAGGACAGTGGTAGCCCAGTTCTATCAGCCAGAACTACTGTATATTTGACCCTGACTGTAAGCAACAAGACATCAGAAATGTTAAATGCTGTTAACATAAAGACTGATAACAAGATCCACCTGACTTCAGCAATTATCATTGTATCAGTAGCAGTGACAATAGCTGTGATCATTACAGCTTCAATCTCAGTGTGTATCCTTCGTTGTTGTAATCCTCGGACTGTACCAGTGCCTGAAGGCAGTTATGTGAGTGGCCAGAGACATTTGTTAAGTCCACCTTACCCAGCCAATCCTTGGTCCAATGTTGCTGTTACTACATCAGATGCAGATATGCGAAGAAGCAATCATCCACCAGCGCCTCAGTTACAATCCCATCCTTATTCAACAACTCAGCAAATTATATCAACTCCTGCACCAAAATCACAGCTGTCTGCAGATTCAACGCAGGTATGTCCTCTTATGGGTTTTAATTTTTAATAATAGTGCTAAAACAGAAATGTTGGTAAAAGAAGATATAATGACAAAAAATTGTGGTAACAAAAAAATTTACATTATCATAAATGGTAATATTGAAATACACAATGCAATTTTTGTTTTCCATGCCAATTTTTGTCACTATTATTAAATATTTTCTAGATGCATGTATTATAAAGGCCTTCTATAAATATAATTTTATATATACTTATATGTGTATTTATATATATTTTATGTGTACTTATATATGTGTATTTAGAAGTGAAATAATTATTGCAACATTTTATAGCCTCTGGTAAAAATAATCCAGTAATATTGAAATAATGACTATGGATTTCTTTTTTACCTTGCTTTTATTTCAGATCCTCCAAATGTTGCATTTTCACTTAGTATATGGTTACAATACCCTTGGGAATATTTTCCCAAGTTATAATTCCTGTATATTGTATGTATTGCATGTGAACATGTTAAAATGAATTTTATAAATATTTTTGTTCACATAGATGTATGTCCAGGATGAAGTACTGCCATCTGTTAGTAATAGAAAACACAAAAGGACAGGCAGAACACAAGAATATTCCAGTAGAAGTTCAGTGAAATCTTCTCACCCAAATGACAGACAAGGTTGGAAAGATACAGTCACAATGCAAGATGAGGTTGGGTCAGGTGTGATATAATTTTTCTATGATTTATTTAATGTTTTCTACAATCAATACTGAATAATGCAAATAGTATTACTTTTGGCAATAAAAACCTTGTAAAGTTTGTTTTTTTCAGTTTGTCATATTATAATTGAGACATATTAATATGTTTTTATTACTTTAATTTTCTGTCATGTAAAATAAATAAATTATTTACTATTAAAAATTGAATTCAAAATTTTGCTTAATAGATATATATTATTAACCTTCTTTTACTTTTCTAATGTTTATGCTAATTAATTTTTCTGATTTTATATCTTACAGATGTGTATCCTTCGCAATATTGCAATCCTCCCCCTTCTCAAAGTGATCAACAGCAGACAACTGAGATGCGACCCTTGGGACAGACTGTCAGCTATCCAAGCGATACAACAATAGTGGCTAGGGGCTTTTATACACCGTACATGAATGAAAACAGTCTTCATACTGATGCCAATAGTAATAGTCCTTATAACAGACATTTACAATCTAGAAATATATCTACAAGTGGTAGTCAAACTTCGATCAACAGGCCACTGCCTCCTGTACCTGATAGTTAAATGGGTATTATGGGAATATATTATCATTCTTGTTGGTATATACTCTTGCCAATTAAGAAATTTAAAAACTGAAATTTAGCAATTTTAACTTTTTAATATAAGTAAATACAAATTAGCAAACATTACATTACTCTTTTGCTCAAATAATTCAGAATTACTTTTTTTTAACTTCATTGTTTAATAAAATTAAATATTTTAAAAAATATATAAAATTATGCTTAGAATTAAACAAAAATTTTAGCTTTATATTTAATTTCATAAAATATTTAGTTTTTATAATAGCAAATTTTAATGAATTCTCATATACTTTAAAATATGCTGAAATCTGATTTAAACAAATTATGAACTTTATTAATAAAATCTAGCAATATATTACTGGTATATTTTCAATGTCTTAGTTAGTCAACACTTCATATTTCATAAGTATCAAAAAGTTTACTGAATGTTTTTTTTTTCTGTTCACCCAATTAAAGCTGTTCATATCTATAACTTTATATTTAATCCAAATCATCAAAATATTTCGAGATCATTAAATAAATATTTATATTAAATCAAGAACTTTTATAAGATTAACTAAATATTAAATTATAAGTATTAAAAAAACAGAGAATTACAATTTATGCTTCAGTGCTAAATAAGATAGAAAGAGAGACTTAAAAAAAAGGAAGGAAGAATAGGATCATTTGAATATTGCATTTTGGGAGTTTGTTTTATTTTAAAAATTATTTCCAATTAAATTAATATTTGGCCCAATTTTTTTATTTTATTCATAATATTTCTGTATTGAATAATGTATTTAAGAGTAATAATAATATTATTTTTACAAACAAACAAGTTATGATTCTGCCATTTAAGAGGCTATATTATGGCTTAACACCTTATGAAGGAGAGAGTGAGAGAGAGAGAGATTGCAGCAGCCATTACACAGACAGCACACTATTTAGGACTGCTGTGACTTAAAACACAAAAGATACACACCATAATGTTGAAATATAAAACCATCAGATGTGCTCCAGTTAATATAACTGATATTTGATGTGAGCAGATTTAAGAACAAAGGTAATTTTATCTATTGTTATTTATTTTCTTTTGCTTTCAGCATCCGTGATACTGTAAAGAAAACAAACTGACTAGCTAGTTCCAGCCATTGTTTGATGAAATATCTTAATGGGAAGAAAAATGTTTAACAAATCTTGATGTATCTTTATTTCTTCCATTTTTTAAAAATTTTCTACAGTTCATGTTTATTTACTTATAATATAAATAATTGGAAAGATATAAAGTGATTAAATTATTCTTAAGATTTATGCATCACATAAACTTTATTTACAAGATTCTTCATTTGTGTCCATTTATTTTTTTCTAAATACATTCCTTGTATTTATATCTACATTGTTAACATTAGCTTTTTATTTTCATTTGACTTTGTTTATAAAATTTTGTGGCTAATATATTTCAAAAATATCACAAGTATGCTGATTCTAAATACGACATATTGATTCCATTTTAACTCTTATTACTATTCTTTTCAATACTAATTGTAAATGCACATGGTTAATACACAATGACATTTCATACATATTAAAAATATTTCTGATCTCTCCCTATTTGTTTCCATGTCAGTTATGTAATCTAAAAACTTATATCAATTCCTTACTGTAATATCAATTATTTTTAATGCAGTAACTGATACTTTCATCTTTTTTGTTCATTGTTGAACTCAGAAGAATAAACCATTTATTTTTTTTTAAATAGAGGATATAAAAGATTTTGCTTGTACTAATTAAGGATCTTAATTTAAAATTTCAGCAATTATTTTGTAGTCCATCAATTAATAGCTACATACACAGCTGTATTACTCAAAAGGATGCTAAGGAAACTATATGTGGTATTCCTAATCCTAAAGATTGGACAGTGTATCGATCTTACATATAATGTGGAAGAAGGGAAAAACCCAGGTATTTACATAGGAGATATTGCTGTTGATTCACAAGTGTTGAATGATATTCCAGGTTATGACCATAAGCTCATTGGATTCAGCCTTCTTCATAAAGGTGCCACTGGCAATTCACCATTATTCAGAATTTCAAAAAGAACTGGAAAACTCTACACTGCACAAACACTTGATGCAGAATCTCTTTGTATTTATAAGAAAGAATGTTTCCAGACAGTCGACGTTGCAGTTCGAAAATCAACGACTGTTTTCAAATTATTAGAAATCAAAGTAAAAATACAAGACATAAATGATCATCAACCTGAGTTTCCTGATAAACAAGTTACCATCGAGTTTGGAGAAGGAGATGGTAAGGGCATGAGAAGATCAATTCCTAATGCTATAGACAAAGATGTAGGAATCATCAACTCCCGGATTACTTATGAACTAAAAAAGACCAAAGATGAACCATTTATATTGTCTACTATGAAGAAAGTAGATGGAACATCTGATCTGAGTATAGAATTAGAAAGAATGTTGAACAGAGAAGTCAAAGACTCTTACACAATTCAGGTAATTGCAAAAGATGGAGGATCTCCACCTAAACAAAATATATTGACTGTTCATATTTCTATCTCTGATGTAAATGATAATACTCCAATCTTTTCCCAGAAAGTTTATAATGTTTCTATTAATAGCAAACACAATGATGCAAAACCTGTTGCCATATTATCTGCTAAAGATCTGGATTCTGGTGAAAATGGTAAAGTTACTTATCATATAACTGCAAAAACAACTGACCACACAAAAAAGTATATTTGATTTAAATGAAATTACAGGAGAACTCTTTCACAAAAAAGAAACACTACACAAAGAATTGACATATGAATTATATGTGGAGGCAAGAGATGGTGGTAATCCACCATTGCGATCACTTTGCAATGGTTTTGGTCAGTGTACTCAACCAGCAGAATAATGCTCCATTGATAGATGTAAACTTTTTCTCTACATCCAGAGAAAATACAGTTGATATTTCTGAGGACATTAAAGTTGGTAGTTTCATTGCTTATGTGAAAGTCAGTGACCATGATGAAGGGCAGAATGGCGAAGTGAGTTGTGAAATTCAGCATGAGAAATTTCAGCTTCAAAAAATGGGCACTCTTAAATATCAAGTAATTGTAAAAAGTACTTTAGATCGAGAAAGAGAAGATCACCATGACATTATCATCATGTGTCAAGATAAAGGATCTCCTCCTCTCCAAAGTAAAAGCAAGTTCTCAGTTCAAGTGACTGATGTGAATGATGTCCAACCCCAGTTTACAAAACAATCATTTAAATTCTTCATTGATGAAACCAAAGATCCAAAATCCTGTTGGAACAATCAATGCTACAGATCCAGATTTTGGACTTGGAGGTAAATTGTCTTTTTCTTTGTTGACTACCAATAAACAGTTTGTACCATTCAGAATCACAGAAAATGGATTAATCTCTTCAATTATGTCTTTAGATCATGAGTTTCAAGATACTTATAAATTTCAAGTATTTGTAAAAGATAAAGGAACTCCATCATTGAATAACACAGTGAATGTGATTGTTAAGGTGAGAGATGAAAATGATAATGCTCCATATTTTACATTTCCCAGTGTTAATCCTTATAATATGGATGTAATATATTATCCACATCATACAAAGAACATCACCCAAATCAAGGCATCAGACAGTGATAAACAAGAGAATGCATTTCTCAAATATGAAATAATCAGAGGCAACAGCAAACAAATATTCAACATCAATCAGTACACTGGTTTGTTATCTTCAACTCATGTCCTAAGCCAAAAAGATGCTGGTTCCTATGAACTGGAATTTCTAGTGAAGGACAGTGGTAGCCCAGTTCTATCAGCCAGAACTACTGTATATTTGACCCTGACCGTAAGCAACAAGACATCAGAAATGTTAAATGCTGTTAACATAAAGACTGATAATAAGATCCATCTGACTTCAGCAATTATCATTGTATCAGTAGCAGTGACAATAGCTGTGATCATTACAGCTTCAATCTCAGTGTGTATCCTTCGTTGTTGTAATCCTCGAAGTATACCAGTGGTAGAAGGCAGTTATGTGAGTGGCCAGAGACATTTGATAAGTCCTCCTTACCCAGCCAATCCTTGGTCCAATGTTGCTCTTCCTGCCACAGATGCTGATATGAGAAGAAGCAGCCATCCACCAACACCTCAATTGCAATCCCATCCTTACTTGGGTAATCACCAATTAATGTCATCTTCAGCACCCAAACCCCAGCCAGCTCCAGATTCTGTTTCACAGGTAATTAGTTTGCATTTTTATTTTTATTTCATTTAGTAATTTTTTTTGATGAAGTAAATACATACCTAGGTAATTTAGGTTTCTTTCTGTTACATTTGGCTTTTGCAGTGTACTTTGTGTGGGTATTTATATATGTATGTATGTATGTA